TATATATATATATATGTGTACATATATCACGACAATTCACATACATTTGATTGTCACTCGTCTCTGATATATATAGTACACTGTTGATCCCTCTATACATCTAAATAGGCAACGTGAAGTATTAATTCTTTCTTTATTCCAGGAATATGCGAACAAGAATTCAGTTCAGCAAATTATCAGGGACAATTTGCTAAGTATGTGTGTTCGTTTCATGCGCGCGCACGTGTATATGTATATATGTGTGCAAAAAAATAAACATATTGGACCCCCGCAACCTCCTAGCATGCCCCTTGCACACTATGATCGGAATTAATATATCCACATATAGACGAACGATTAAGAGCAAAAAGGCGACGCTTTAAAGAGAGAAAAGCACCCATTCTTATTAGCTTTTGTCAGTGAAAATATGTGGGCGGTACATGCTTCGCAATGGCGATTCGTGGCCAAAACGAGGACCGCGTGGATATATTGATTTTCTTTCCGACACCTTTCCGATGTTTCAACGTTGAAATATAGTCGTCACCGTTTATGTACGCGGTAGTGACACGTTACACAGGGATAAAGTGATTTAAATTATCCTTTCTTTTGACATATCGTAGAGAATATTCACAAACTACTTTTGCAAAAAATAAAATAAATAGATGTCGACGATGCTTGTTTCGATATTTTTTCGAATCAATTGTTTGTAAAATCAAATTTTCTATCAGGATAAACATAGATTGATTTGAATATTTATATAGTATTTATTAAAAAAAATTTTTGTATTCTGTTTCAAAGAAAATTACTGTTGCAAGTATATCGTGTTTTCTTTGACAATACCCTGTGTAACGATGTAATTGTACAATTATATCTAACGGCTTATATATCTAATGTTGATTGACACAGGTACATTCAATATATGAGTACGAATAACACAGCATTTTGAGAACGTAATCGATTAATTATTGAAATTTAGCTTTGCAACTGATTAATTTCTTTATTACGCAATTCGCGCATAAGTAATCTTTTCCGTAATCTTAACGAGGTTTTGCAGATTCGGGAAGAGTAAAATAAATATGATAATGCTACTCATACACATCTACATTTCTGATGATAACATACATGTATTGATACTTCCATACCAACGGTATTGATCTGGTTCTCCTGTGTTACAAGCAATAGCGTTACTTATCTAAGCAACGATTGCTTATCTAAGCAACGAAACCCTCTTTGATAATTTTCAAGCCAAAACTATATTGACAACATCACGAAACACGGTACATTTGACGCTTGTTTGACATTCTATGACACATAAATACACATAAAATGTATAGTTTAATATAAATTTTTCTAGTTATACTCACATGCATTATTGCTATGCTTGATAATGCTTTCAAACTTGAACAGATGTAACTAGTATGTAAATATCTCTGAATTAATTGAAAAGGGTGTATATTCTTTTTAAATATATTTAACAAATTATAAATCGGTAAGTTAAAATATGTTACGTGATATAATATTTTGTTAGAATATAATATAAAAAAAAATCTTTTTACAATTCAAAATATTCGGTATGTTAAATTTTATTTATCTCATAAACCTTGATATCTATAATACGCGTATAATTATCTCTTTCTAACTTTTTTATATTTTGATATTTAAATTCCAATATTTAATCTTTCAACTTTTATATAATATAAAATTAGCATATACACATCATCACTTTGTTAGCTTAGAGAAAAATATAAAAACATTAAACTCGAAACATTTTATGTTGTATATTCCATTTTTATACGTTAGACTAAAGTAAGTTTTATATTGCAAAGAATGAGAGAGGAACTGTCACGCGGCATTATTGCCAAGGTGCTCATTTGAGAAATTTATAGAATTGGAAAGTCATAAAATGACACATACTTTG